TTGTTTCCCTAGTAGCCTCTCCACACAAGGATGACAGACAGCTTGGCCAGGACGATGCCCCCGAGGATGGCAGTGACTACCTTTATACTCAAACCAACACGACCATTGCAGTCCCTGATAGCGACAGATACCTTGAACCCGGTCTACTGGTCGGCATGAGCCTGCTTCTGTACCAGCATGATCTTCAGAACTTCATTCCTGAAGGAATGATGGCCCCAAGAAAAAGTCCAAGGACCTCAGACTCCTTGGTGGGCAGAGACAGGAGGACAGTCTTCTCCAGGGACTTGATTCGCACATCCTTGACCGGCCAGACCAGCTTGGTGACAGGGACCCACTGTCCTTGGTCTTGCCACTGCGAGCCCCACAGCCCAGCCTCAACCCCTGCCATGTCCACACCCGAGGCCCTGAAGGCCACTGTCACAGCCTCCTCGGATGCCTCCATGGCCTCCCACGCCCACCCTCAGGGGTCTCCATGCCCACTCTCAGGGGCCTCCCCTGTCAGGGCATCGTCTGTCATTTCATGGTTTCTTAAGGAAGAAGCACCGTAGTCTCTAATCAGACCGACATCACTTTCCTCTATAATCATGGATACTTTATGAAATATTTTATTATTTTTTAATTCTTTTTTTTTTTGGCCACTTTATTGCTATAGCCTCCCTTTGTGGCTATAACTAGCCATATGAAGTGGCTATTTTACTTTTAAGAAAGATTGCTCTTTAATATCCAAATTATTGTAAACTTTATTTGTTGTTAATAATTGGATCTGTCCTATTATTTTGGTATTGTACCAGATTCCAGCTTGGGGATGGAAATACATAGTCACATTGCAGAAAATGTCAGATAAGAACACAATATCATTTTGAATTCCTTCCCAACAAAATCATTCCTTTCCCACGTACCAAGTGCTATTAGCAATTCCTGTAGAGACAAAAGGTCAGACTTGGGAGAAATTGGAATTCCACACATTTTGCAGGGATAACTGAGTCTTATTTCTCAGTTTATAATCAGAGAGGGAAATGGGGTCATTTCTAGTAGGGGTCATTTTCCAATATTACCTATTTCTCACTGGCAAAAGCTAAGTATGGGTTAGGATTTTTTCCAATGCCAGCTAACTGTAAGGCTCACTTAACTAGAAAATGTGGGCTCTTTTTTGTGATGCTGCATAATTCTTTTTATGTGGGCTCTTAATGTACAATGTCTTAGTTTACAAATGCTATCTATTATTTTCCGTGATTGGTGCTTTCCAGAAAATTCCCATAGGTAATTTAATCCTTGCCCCTGCACTATGAAGTGTTAGTCGTTGTCCCAAAGTGACTTCAGAGTCCATCTGTATCAACATGGTGAATCGGCTTTGCTCAGTTAAATGTGGACTCCATTCCACCTCTGACTTCAGAAGTTTGCCTTAAATGGTTTGCCTTGTGATTTTGTAATGGAATCCTCCATTTTTGTAATGCTTAATTTTCCTTTAAAAGAGTTACCTATCCTTTTCTCTCTCACCCTGAAATAACATCCTTTTTTTTTTGTCTTTTTGAGACAGGGTCTCACTATGCAGTTCAGGCTGGCCTTGAGCTCACTTTGTAGCCCAGGCTGGTCTCAAACTTGCAACAATTCTCCTGCGTCAGCCTCCCAAGTGCTGGGATTACAGGTGTGCACCACCACACCTGGTTAACATCCCTTTTACACGTCCTATTTTTTAAAAGTTAATTCTGTTCTAGTAAATGTCTTTCTTGTCTTCCCTTCCCTGCTGAGCTACATCCCAAAGCTCCTTTTTATTTGTTTATTTATTTATTTATTCATTTATTTAGAGGCAGGTTCTTGCTACATTGCTCAGGCTGGCCTTGAACTTTCGATTCCTTTTGACTCAGCCTTCCAAGTAGCTACAATTATAGGCGTGTGCCACCACACTCAGTTTAAGAATGTTGTTTTCTCTTTACAGTAAATTTAGCTTTTCTTAAAATGTCTAGTCTAGTACCTGGATCTTCAGCAAACTCTTTTCGTTCTAGTATTTGGTTAATTTTGGTAAATTCACCATGAACTTTGTTGCCAGTGGAGACTAAAATAAGCATTTGCCACTCTAATACCTAGAATTTTTGTTATCTGAGATGTACCAAAATAAACAGCTGGCTGTGGTAGCGCACACCTGTAATCCCAGCTTGGGGGTGGGGGCAGGGGGGTGCGTGGCTGAGGCAAACTGGGCTACATCGTGAGTTCAAGGGCAGCCTGTGTGCAAAGGGAGACCATATGTCAGAAAAAGTGAAACAAAACAAAAAATACCAAAATAAGAAGAGAATTACTTTCTAAGAGTAGTGCAAAGTTTGAATCTTTCCAAGTATAAAGATTCAATTTAAGTAAGGTAGGAGGTAAGCAAATGGTCATAACAAAAACATGATAAATGCCTGGGATGCAGCTCAGTGTTGCAGCACCGGCCTGGCAAGCATCAGGTCCTGAGGTCGATTCCAGGTACCAAAAAGCAAAAACAAAAAACTATGATAAATGAAGAGATATAATAATATCACATCATGTGAGCTCAAGGCCAGCCTGGACTACTCCGTGAGTTCAAGACCAGTTTGAACTACATAGCGAGACCCTGTCTCAAAAGAAGGAGGAGGAGAAAGAGGGGAGAGAAGAGGAAGAGAAGAATACAGATTCATTAGAGATTATTTATTTACTGTTTCTTTTGTGGGGGGCATACTGGGAATTGAACTCGGGACCTTGCGCTTGCCAGGCAGGCACTTGTACCACTGAGCTGTATCCCCAACTGAGCTTATTTAGAAGAACAAAAGAATGTACATATAATAATATCACATCATCATTTGTAATTTCACTAACACCATCAAGTTTAGCCCTGTTCTCACGAACATAGACATTCATAGAATAGATGATGACACTCACAGAAGAGGACTGGAATAAAAGGAGAGTACGAAGAGGAAGCTACAGTGTCTTCTATAAACCTGTTCCGCTGTCCCACTGACTGTCTGCCCTGAGGTCTGGCCTCCCTCAGGGGCAGGGCAATTAGGCCCGCCTTCAAAGAGAGGGGACTCTGTGTACACATTTTAAAACTACACCTACCGAAGAAAGAATATATGCCAAACACTGGAGTGGTGGTCTACAATGGGGAGAATAATGAAAACAAAAGAAAAGGAAATAAATAAAAGAAGGTAGGGAGGGAAGGAAGGTTAGCAAGAGGCCCTTTGTATTCCGAAGAGGACAAGCTGCGGTGAGTTGAGGTGGCTATTTAATTGTCTGCACTGCCCCAGGAAAGAAAAGCTTAGCGTGCATCGTAGTCACTTTCACATTCACACAGAATACGACCTTTACACTTGTTTTTTTTTTTTTTTTGGTTTTTTTTTTTTTTTTGGTTTTTCTTCGGTACCGGGAACCGAACTCACGACCTTGCACTTGCCAGGCAGGCGCTTTTGCCGCTAAGCTAAATCCCCAGCCCCAACCTTTACACTTGTATCTTTCCTTTCTTTCTTCTCCTTCTCCTTCTCCTTCTCCTTCTCCTTCTCCTTCTTCTTCTTCTTCTTCTTCTCCTCCTCCCCCTCCTCCTCCTCTTCTTCTTCTCTTCTTCTTCTTCTTCTCCTTCTTCTTCTTCTTCTTCTTCTTCTTCTTCTTCTTCTTCTTCTTCTTCTTCTTCTTCTCTTCTTCTTCTCCTTTTCTCCTCCTCCTCCTCCTCTTCCTCTTCCTCTTCCTCTTCCTCCTCCTCTTCTTCTTTCTCCTCCTCCTCCTCCTTCTTCTTTTGGTATTTTTTGCCTGGCTGCAATCTTCTATTTATCTACAACTAGGTTTGCTCTCTTAACCATGTATCTTGGAGAGTTTTTTAAGTGTCAATATAAAGACAAAAGCCATCTTACTCTGTTACTGCACATTATCCCATAATGCAGGCACAACAACATTTATCTTACTGCTTCCCTGCTGATGGACTTTCAGATTGCTTTCACTTTTCTCTCTTTTCCCTTTCTCTCTGGTTGGCTGGGTGTCTCTCTCTCTCTATGAATAGCCATGCTTGTACCTTCTCTTTGCTTTGTCTTCCCTGGAGTTCAAGACTGAAGGCAGGGGACCTTGCAAGATGGACTCTGAGCAGGCCGAGGCTGTCTTGGGAGGCCAGGCAGGGGTACTGGGGCAGATTTGCTATTCCTTCGACCTCCTTGCCCTGCTTAGCCATGGAGGAGGTGATGGACTCGGCAAAGGTCATGGCCCTTGGCCTCAGAGATCTCATGTACAGCATGGGAGCAGAACAGCACAGGGTGAGGGAAGGCCTCCCAAGTTCAGCCAGCTGCCTAGGAGTTCATCCTGCCCCACCACTTGCTAGACTTGACATTGGGCATGTTGTCTCACACCTGATAGCTCAGTTTCCCCACCACTAAGATGAGTTGCTCTGAGATGTAAAGAAAGTATGGGCACAGTGCCTGGCACACAGTGATCTATCAATGCTGAGCTGTTAAGAGACCAGCCGGGCTGGAGCCATGCTAATCAGAGAGGGAGTGGGCTCCACTCAGTGGAGTCTGAGATCCTCCTGAATGAAGGGCAGAGCCTGGACGGTGGGCAGCATTCCCTGGGGGGAGCTGGAGTTAGGCTTTTTAGGGCATGGAAAGGTAGAAGTGAAAGTGCTGGGCTGGAGATGGGAGGCATGCTCTGTGGGGTGGGAAGCAACTCCCTGGGGCTGGAAGGCCATGTTCACCGGCTAGAGGAGCAAAGGCCTTTCTGGGATGTATGCAGGCTGTCTTCTGGCATGGAGGATGGAGGTCCAGGGCGTTCTGTGGACTTGAGCCCCTAAGCTGAAGCCACAGGTCCACTACAGGACGGTCACCAGGGTCAGCCATGGCCCCGGGTGCACCCTTCCCACCCACCTTCCTGTCTCCCTCAGCAGGGGGCTCCTCCCACCATCTGGCCACTCCCAGAATCCAGCATCCCCACCCCTCATTCCCGTCGGGAGGCGGGCGGAGGCTTCTCGCGGGGGCTGTGCCGGGTGGGCAGTTTTCCCAGAGCAAGGAGCAAAGCAGGACTGAGTTGGCGCCAACTTACTCAGATGTAGACATTGCTGGCTGGATGGCCAGCCTGCCCCAGCTAGCCTGAGCCCAAGGGCTCCCTCAGGCACCGTGCTCCTGCTGTGAGGCTGCAGCCCTGTACCCCAGGGGAGTGGCATGTCACAAAGGGAGGTCCGAGGGCCACCGGCGATGCCAAGAGTGGAGCATGGCCGGGCGAAGGCCAAAACACGGCTGCTGCCAGCCACTGATAGGAAGAGGCGCCACCTCGGCAGGACAAGGCAAGACCCGTGGGGAGAGACCAGCTGGAGTGACCAAAGATGGAGCAGAGCTGTCCCTAGCCCTAGAGGTGCCAGGGCTAGGGGCCCAGCTTGTGGCAGGGTAAGGAAATACTGGACCAGCAGAGGGAACTGGGGAGGCAGGGGCTGAGGGCCATGGATGCCTTCCCTGAGGGCAGAGCCTCCCGCAGGATTATTGCTGCCACCCAAGTGGGACGCAGGTCCCTGAAACTCCACAGCGCTATGCTGAGGATGGCAGGGACTAATCAGAGTCGGTCTCAACCAGAGCACAGCTCAGAGAGCAGGTCCAGCTTCTCTGGAGGAAACCGAGGCCTGGACGAGGGATGTGAATTTGCCATGGTCCCCAGCAGCAGGGCCGGTTGTTTTGACTTTGGGCTCAGGGTTCTTTCCACAGCAACCTCTTCATCTCGGAACCTACTGGGCCAAGGTTCAGTGCTGCTCAACAGGGTGTAGCTATGTGTTTCCCACAGCCCCAAGGAAAAGCGGGGTTCAGGCAGGGGAGCGGGACAAGCATTAGTGGAATAGCAGAGAGAACCCCGGACTCAGGTTCTGAGCCAAGCTTTGCTACCCTGCTGCCATCTGACCCCAGCCTGGGCCTTGCTCCGGCTGCAACCAGAGCAGGGCTGGGACCCACCAAGGTGGGCTGAGGCCCTTCATGTCACCTCTCCAGTGGGAGCCCTGGCAGCAAGATGCTCTTAGAAGGCAGGGCCAGATGGAGCGCAGGGCAGACCCACTCACTGGGGCCCTCTGTGCAGAGCGAGGCGAGTCCTGAGAATGCGGCGCGGGAGCGCAGCCGGGTGAGGACCCTGCGCCAGGCCTTCCTGGCCCTGCAAGCCACTCTGCCTGCTGTGCCGCCTGACACCAAGCTCTCTAAGCTGGACGTGCTGGTGCTGGCTACCAGCTACATAGCCCACCTCACCCGCACACTTGGCCACGAGTTGCCCAGCCCTGCCTGGCCACCCTTTCTGCGTGGGCTCCGCTACCTGCACCCTCTCAAGGTAGGGCTTGGGCTCGGGTCATTGGGTGAGGGACACGTAATGCCCAGGGCCTTGAGGAAGGGTCTGGGGATGGTGGAACACTGAATTAGGCCCCTGTCCTGGGCAGAGCTGACACTGGGGTCAGGTTCTTTCTGCTGTCTCAAAGGGAGAAGAGCTAAGGTTGGGTCTTGGGGAGGGGCTGATCCTGTGTTTCTCAGCGGGTGGTGACAGACAGTGGCTTTATGGGAATGCATTTTCTCTAAGAAGAGGGAAAGACTTCAGTGTTCTTAGTGTCAGAGGGTAAAAAAGGAGCAGGTTCCAGGGCTGGGTCCCGGACAATGAGGGGCACCCGGGATAGTCCTCAATGGCTGTGCGCCTGGCACTGTACCCGCCTCCCACACTCTGGACGCCTGTTGTAAGACAGATTCACCTTCCGGGAGAACAGCACGCCAAGGCAGCAGTCTAGAAGCAGCCGAATGCGGAGCAGCGGTATGGGGTGTGGGCTTCCAGCACACACCGCTTGCCACTACCACCTGGCTTTCCTGAACCTCCCCTTCGCTTATGCAGAATGGAAACTAACAGGAGCTACCTTCTCCTCTAAAGCACAAACTGGGATTCTGAAAGAAAAGTTACGAACAATAGGCACAATCGCAATGACAGCCAACCTGCTAAGGTGCTAAAGCTATGCCAGGAGCTAACCTAAGCACTTGGGGTGCTGGGGATCGAACCAAGGGCCTCGTACATGCTAGGCAAGTGCTCCACTCCAGTGCATTTCAATCTCTTGGTCCATGTGAGGACCAAATGCAGATTGCTTTACAGAGGAGGAGACAGAAGTACAGAGCAATCAAGTGGCTGAATGCGGTTTAAGCTCGCTGATCGTGCCCTGGACGGCACTGTACGGAGCCAGGTGAAGCGGGCCCTCAGCTATAAAGGAAGGGCCATCTCTGCCTCTGAGGAAAATATCATAAAGGGCGTCAATTTTATTTTTGGAGAAGATATTTTTTACTAACTCTGTCCTCTAAATAGCATCATTAGGAAATGTCTTGAAGCTTGAGTTTTTGTTCTTGTTTTTTCTTTTTTGCAAATATAGCAAATGCAAGATTCTGAGATGAAATGAGGCCACTCTGAAATGCTGAAGGTGGCACCTGAGTAACATAGCAAAACCCTTAGCTGCATTGGTGAGCAAGGCCCGGACATGTAGTAGGTGACCAATAAACATGTGGGAGAGTGAACAAAGGAAGCTGTAGGTCTAGGACTCTGGCAGATTGGTGAGGTGGGGTAGTTAGCCAGGGAGTAGTGCCCTCCGTCCCCAGGGAGAGGAACTGCTGGGAAGGAGGGCAGATTCAGGCAGAGTCAACATGGCGTGTGCTAGGCCTGCACCTGCAGTCCTCCGGCTGGAAGGAGCCCACTCCTTGGAGGAGCCCAGCTGGGAGGTTTTCCTGGCTCCCCTGCTCGGCCCATTGCCCAGGGACCAGCTCTGTCCAGGGCACCTGACCTCCTGTTCACCTCCCTCTCAGCCAAAACCTGATCCTCTTGGGGCCCCTGCTGTGCCTCTCACCCAGGATCAGGGAGTCAGGAGATCTTGGGTCCACACATGATAGCGAGGCCACTGCTGTCAGACTGTGATCCTAGGAAAGACATGAGGCAGGGCCGCTGGGAGGCCAGCATCAGGTGACAGGGACTGTGGACTATGCAAAGCTGCACTGGCTGCACTACTCACTTCCCATTCTGTGTCTTGCAGAAGTGGCCCATGAGATCTCGTCTCTATGCTGGAGGCCTGGGATGCTCTGGCCTTGACTCCACCACAGCCATCACCTCCAGCCAAAAAGCAAAGGAAGCAGAGGTGGGGCTCCAAGTCTCTGGAGAGGCAGATGTTCTCCTTCTCACCAAGCCACTCTCGCCAGCTCTTGGTGACAAATGACCATTAGCTCATCCCATTCTCCTACTCTTTGACTCTCGATTAGGGGCCTGGATTTGGTACCAGCCCCTACCTGTCTTCCCTCTGACTCTCAGCCAGTGGATCTGACTCAGGCTCGGCTTCCAAGTTACATCAGGCGGACCCAGAGTGTGAAGGACATTCTTTAGTTACTATTTTGTGTGCTGCCTGAGGCTTGACCAAGCCATGACTGTTGGGCTGTGGAGGAAGTCTGGCATAAGCATTGTAAGCCCCAGGATCAATACTCGATGGTTTGCTGAGATATGGGCGAAGGAAGATAACATGATGGCTTTCTAGTCAGTCGCATTCCTATGATAATTGAGTTGTATTGTCCTTGCTGAAACAGTTGATTCCTCTGCTGCCTCCTGGGTGGATTCTGAATAAAAGGTTACTGAAGAGGGTAATCTGGGGGCAGTCAGTTCTAGAGGCTGCTAGCACCTGATCAGAGGATTTTGGCTCTCTTAGTTTGATTTTTTTCTTATTTTTCTTATACATCTGCGGGCACCTAGTTCGGGGGGATCTGTTCACCCTGGACAGAGTTGGATGAGAAGTCCGACACCAGAGAGGCAGTGGGCACTTCAGTGGTGAAGAGTTCCAGGGAGCACAGGATGGAGATCCTCACCCTTGGCACCGGGAGGGGACTTCCCAGTGACTCTTTGGTGACAGCAACAGTGAAGTGAGAAAGGCCAGGGTTAGGCTGCGTTTGAATTCAGGTGATTGTGCCTCCCTTCCCTTGTCTCCCCTAAGGCTCCTACAAACCCTCTGAACAGAGGGAGGAAACAGAAATGACTGCAGGTGCAGAGGGAGGGGCCAGAATGGCAGCAGCCCCAGGTGCTGAGGGGAGAGCTAAGGGGCCCCTGGGCTCTTGGTAGCTGTTTGAACAGGTCTGGGACGGGGTTCTGCAGCCAGAGAGTAAACTGAAGAAGGACACATGCACCATGTTCTATGGCACCATGAATGCTTCCCTGACATGCGAGGGGCAGGAAGGAATGAAGGACGGTTGTCTTTGCTCGTGGGTCTCTCCAGCTGCTCCTCATCACTATACTCTTCTCTCTCTCTGGGCCCTGCACATTTTTCCTGTTTTTGTTGACATGAGTTATATCTACAGGTTAAGCCATAAAGCTCACCCTGCTTACATTCCACTTTTCAGAGAAACTTAGCAAGGACCAGCTGTCCTGTTTGAAGAGATCTGTCCCGAAAGCTGCTCACAGGCATCCATTTAAAGCCCCACCTGTGAAGGATATAGATGATATACTCAATGACATCCTGAAGAACATTGAAAGAAGAACATGGCTTTGTTTTTTTGTTTTTTTGTTTGTTTTTTTTTTGGCTTTTCGAGACAGGGTCTTGCTATGCAGTTCAGGCTGGCCTTGAGCTCACTACGTAGCCCAGTCTGGCCTTGAACTCAGCGATCCTCCTGCCTCAGCCTCCCAAGTGCTGGGATTACAGGTGTGCACCAGCATGTACCTTTTTTCAAGGAACTGTACAGCCTTCTCTTTTCATTATGTTAATAACCTAACCTCAAGGAAAATGAGCCAGGTCTGGGTTTGGCAAGTGCCCAGTGCCATGACGGCTTGAAGCTTCACTGGCTCTGGAGTTATCTCTACATTCATGCCTGAAATTGGCCCCCAATGCCAGCTTCTCCCTTCAGGCATTGTCCTCTCAAATTCTTCCCAAGTCCTGCCAAATGTACCAGAGTGTGATAGAGGTGTAACGGAATTTGTCCCAGGCCCTGAAGAAATAATTGAGGACTAACTAATCACAGAGTCTGCCCACACAGAAATGAACCTTCCAGAACAGGTGTAGTTTCAAAGCTGAAGTCCACGCAGAGAGGGAACTACCCTTTTAGTTAAATTTTGACATTCAAGACAGAACTGAGTCCCAACAGGGTTATTGTTTGACACAAGCTGTCATTGAATGTCATTGAATGTCATGAATGTAGAGTAGGGTTGAGGTCTGTTCCTCCACAGGACTGGCCAGAGCAGCAGGGGAAAGGGGTGCGGGGTGACTCAGCAAGCTGGGGTGGAGGTAGGAAAAGAGACACAGAACGTCCCAGCCTGAGCCGTACGGGATGTGGGAGAGCAGCTGGCCTGTGGCTGGGAGCCACGGGAGAAGGCCTGAGCCAAGGCTGAACTCGTAAATCTGCCTAGGACCACGACTCTGCTGAGAGACCCCGCAGCGCTTGTGCAGAGCCGCTTCTGGGCAGCTGGACGGGGCCAGGCAGAGGCAGAGCCCAGGTGTGGGAGGGCATGAGCAGCGCTCCTCACAAGACCATAAAAGTCCAGCTTGAATGTTCTATTCTTAAAGCCAAATAGGAGTGTCTTCCTGGGGAGTTGGAGGATGGTAGCAAGAGGGCAGATGAGTTCCTTCCCATGGTGGCACATGCTCTCTTTCTGGACACACAGAGACTGGCTTTGCTTGTATCACTAGGCGTCCCCCAAGAGTCTGGTGCGTCTCCTGATAACTGAGTAGACTTGGTTTGGAGTTTGCCCTGCCCCACTCTGCTCTGAACCAAGCCTCTGCCTCGTCCTATCTGCTCCCAGGGCTGACTACATCACTCTAGTGGAGAAGACCAAGAGGCCAGGAAGGATGAAGCTGTTGGAGGCTGAGGAAGGCAGATCCCACCAGGACACCTTTCTTCGGCTGCCTCGAGCTCAGGCGAAGTTGTTCTAGTGCCCAGAAAAGACCTGAGTGACCCAGGAGCCAGCTCCCCAAGCTGGAGGGAGCTCAGGCCAGAGTCAGAAGGGCTGGCAGAGGGAAGGGAGGCACAAAGGCAGGTCCAGGGGGTGACTGGGAGCACCCAAAGAGGAACCTGACAGCAGCCTCCCTGATAAGCACAATGCTTACGACAGCTTGGAGCCTGGGGTATGTAAACCAACCAAGTCCAGGAGAAATGCCTTTTGTCTCTGCAGCAAAGAAGAAAAATGCCCACTCACCAGGACACTTCGAGTCTCACCGGTGCTGGGGCATGGGATGGAGCAGCTAGAGGCTGCAGAGGCGGCCCAGATCCGCATCATGCGCAGTTTCTGCTCCCTAGAAACAAAGGTGTGGAGGAAGGAGCTGTGGAAGTTAACAGGATCACGAGTGCCAAGTGATGGGAAGGTGGTCTGCCTCGGGATGGAGGAACGGCTGCTCCCTGAGCTTGGTCTACTTGGCTTTCTTGCACTGCCTGTCATGGGACACGAGATAGGCAGAGGCAGGCGGTGAGGAGGACAGCCCCGTCACCTCGCTTGGCTTTCTCGTACACAGAGCAGCACGAGAGCAGGGCGGAGGCCTGGGTGGGCTGTGGAGGAACAGAACTGGCCAAGGGGTAAATAAGGGTTGTGTGGCCGCTGTGGTGTTTACCACCCAGGAACAAGAGTAATTAGAAATAGAAGATCAAGGTAGCTTCCTCCCTCTCCCTCTAGGAGGAGCCTAGTTAAAGTAAATTAGACAGAAGGTCCTCTTCTTTTTCTGGCACCAGCCTTGTAGGCTTTTTCTACTCAGTAGGCCAAATCCAGTTCCCCACTCATCTTTGTAAATAAAGTTTTATTCAAACACAGCCACTCTTACTTGTTTAAGTCTTATTTGTGACGGACTTCCTGATACCAAAGCAGAGTTAAATAGCTCTGACAGAGGTTGAAAAGCTTAAAATATTTGCCCTTATTTGCCCTTATATCCTGGCCCTTACAGGAAAGGTTTGGGGTTCCCTGCTTTGTTGGGTAATTCAAAAAGTTCAGGAGTATTCAAACTGTGGTCTGGGAACCCTGGGGTGATCTAAGTGAACAAAAGTTTTTTGGATTGTGTTTGTTTGTTTGTTTGTTTTAATTTTAGAGACAGGGTCTTGCTATGTAGTGCAGGATGGCCTTGAACTCACTATGTAGCCCAGGCTGGTCTCGAACTTGTGGCAATTCTTCCACCTCAGCCTCCTAAGTGCTGGGATTACAGGCATACACCACCACACCTAGTAAAACTATTTTCATTATACAAGATGCTATTTGCCTTTTTCACTCTTTCCTGAACAGATGGAATAGAGAAACAGGTTATTAGGAGAGATATTAAAATATTTTCAAAAATCTAAACCAATACCACTCTTCTTGATAAATATTTTCCAAGATGAAAAATAATTATTTTTTCCATAAAAATTATATATTGACATAGAATAGGTTTAGTTCATGCTATTTTTACATAAATACTTTATTTAGGGGCTGGGGATTTAGCTCAGCAGCACAGCGCCTGCCTGGCAAGCGCAAGGTCGTGAGTTCGATTCCTGGTACCAGAAAAAAAAAACAAAAACAAAACAAACAAATAAATACTTTATTTAAAAATCTCTATTTCAGGCAACCCTTTTGGGACCTCTCCTGTCTCTCAGGAGCTATTCTTATTCCCCATTCCCCATTCCTATTTCCCATTCCTTTTCTCCAATAAATGTTCCTACTCTTAAAAAAAAAAATCTCTATTTCAAGCCAAGTGTGGTGGCACAACCCTGTAATCCCAACACTCAGGAGGCTGAGGCCTGAGGATCACTGCAAGTTCAAGGCCAGCCTGGGTTACATAGTGAATTCAAAGATACCTTGAACTATACAGAGAGACCCTGTCTCAAAAACAAAACAAAACAAATCTCTATTTTAATGTCTTTGCAGTAATGATCAATGCTATGACCCACAGAAGCAAAACCTCTTTGGGGTTCTACCTTTACAGAATGTAAAGGAGTTCTGAGACCTAAAGTTTTCAACATCTGCACTTAGAACAGATGCATGAAAGTCAAGAAAGCTCCCACGCCAGCTCCTAGCCCCTGTACCAGGTCAGCTCCACCCTCTCCTCAGGGCAGACGAGAGATGGGCTTTGGCCTCAGAGAGAGAGAGAAGTCTTTGGGTCCAGGGAGCATCTGGCAGTGAGGACAAAGCCGCAGCCCAGGTCCCTTTCGCAGTGAGGTCTCCTGGAGGACAAAGGCACGACTGAGCCCCTCCTGGCTTGGCCCGTCTTCAGCCATCACCCACTTGTCTCCACTGCCCTGCAGCATGCCCTTCCTCATCTTCTCTGGATACAGGCTGTTGTCCATGGAGACGTCCTGGGCACATGCAGAACAAGGTGGGGATGTGGTAAGCCACGTACACAGGAGAGGGGAGGGGCCCTCTCTG